GATATTTGCGAAGTAAATTTTTGTAAAAGCTTTTATAGTTGAGAATGAAGTTGATGAATCACTGAATACCCCTTCCCTTCTCTCACCCTCAGTAAATATAGATAATACATTGGATAGTATGTTATCTTCAGAAAATACTCAAGATTCTGATATAACGCAGCAAGATTTTTCAAACACTCAACAGGGTGAGCAGAATGACAGTGGTGTTGATTCAGCATCATCACAAAAACCTTGGCTGGAAAAGAGAAAAAAAGGCCCCGAAAACAAATCCAGAAAGTTCTCCATTTAAAAAAGAATTATTAACTTTATTAAGTAACCAAACCCCAAATCTTGCCGCTGACGACCTGGCTTTTTCGCTTCTTTAGGTCCAATTTTAAAAAGTTTTGATGTAGGACAAAAGCTGGAGTTTAGATCGAGAGTGCTGCGCGAAGCTACGGATATGCGAAATGACAACAGATCATATAGCTCAAATTGCCGTGTAGTGGCGGTTAAGAATATCCACTACCCCATATCTTCCCGTGTGTGTCGTAAAAGGCGATAAAGGGAAAGTCTTTGCCAGAGATCTGTCTGCCAGAAAGAGCCAACTGTCAAAGCTGAAGACCGAATGTGGCAGCATCGTTTCCGGGGCACCTGAGATTTTGAGTGAGATTGAGAGGTTCTATGGGCAGCTGTACACGTCAGCGTTGGAGCCGCACGCAAGTGTGAGTAACGATCCAAGAGCGAGTCTTATCCGACATTATTCCGATGATATCCCGGATGTCAGTCTGAGCGAGATTAGAATGGCTCTCCAGCACCTTAAAAACGGGAAGGCCCCAGGCGAGGATGGAATTACAGCGGAGCTTCTGAAAGCGGGTGGAAAACCGGTACTTGAAGTCCTTCAGAAGCTCTTTAATTCCGTCCTCCGTGGTGGCATTACACCGGAGGCGTGGAGCAGAAGCGCGGTGGTCTTGTTCTTCAAGAAAGGCGACAACGCTCTCTTGAAGAACTACAGACCGATTTCCCTTCTGAGCCGCATCTACGTGCTGTTTTCGAGAGTCATTACGAATCGTCTCGCGCGCAGACTTGACGACTTCCAGCCTCCCGAACAAGCCGGTTTCCGAAAAGGCTTTAGCACCATAGACCACATACATACCCTTCGGCAAATTGTACAGAAGTCCGAGGAGTACAATTTGCCACTATGTCTGGCGTATGTGGACTATGAGAAAGCCTTTGATTCCGTCAAAATTTGGGCGGTGCTGCAGTCCCTTCAGCGATGCCAAGTTGACTGTCGGTATATCGAAGTGTTGAAGTGCTTGTACAGTAGGGCTACGATGGCTATCCGAGTACAGAACCAGAGTACGAAACCTATCAAATTGAAGAGAGGTGTAAGACAGGGTGACGTCATATCCCCGAAACTCTTTACCGCTGCATTGGAAGATGTTTTCAAGCTTCTGGACTGGAAAGGATACGGTATCAACATCAATGGCGTGTACATCACTCACCTTCGATTTGCCGACGATATAGTCCTTATGGCAGAATCGCTGGAGGACCTATGCACTATGCTCAATGACCTGAATAGTGTTTCACAACGGATAGGTCTTAAGATGAACATGGACAAAACAAAGATAATGTTTAATGTCCATGTCACACCTATGTCATTAGTTGTTGGGAGCACTAAGCAAGTTGTTGACGAGTATGTTTACCTGGGACAAATAGTCCGACTAGGTAAGTCCAACTTCGACCGAGAGGTCAATCGACGGATTGAACTCGGTTGGGCAGCGTTCGGAAAATTACGGCACATCTTCTCGTCAGCTATACCTCAAAACTTGAAAACGAGACTGTACAACCAGTGCGTGTTGCCAGTGATGACCTATGGAATTGAGGCGTTGTCCTTCACTGCTTGCCGGATGAGGAAGCTCAAGGTCGCTCAGCGAGCTATGGAGAGGGCTATCTCGGAGTTTCTCTGCGTGATAAACTCAGAAATGAGGATATCTGCAGTAGAACCAGAGTGACCAACATAGCCCAACGGATTAGTAAGCTGAAGTGGCAATGGGCCGGCCATATAGCTCGAAGAACCGACAACCGATGGGGAAGAAAGATTCTCGAGTGGCAGCCTCGTACCGACAGGCGAAGTGTAGGGCCTCCCCCCACTAGATGGAGTGACGACCTGGTAAGATATGCAGGAAGTCGATGGATGCAGGTAGCTCAGGACCGTGCTTTGTGGCATTCTTTGGGGGAGGCCTATGTTCAGCAGTGGATTTGTGAAGGGCTGTAATGATGAATGATGATGATATAGCTCAAATAGCTCTTACTCCAATGACGCAAGGTCTACACTCGAAACGTATGCATCATCATACAATTATCAGACTCCAGCTTACCCAGGGTACGAAACCAATGATGCGAATCCAGGTAACTCTGGTTTATCAAACAGCGAAACGTACTGAAGAATAATTATATTATGTTTAATTACTAATAATATAAAATTTGTTTTTTTTTTTTGTCTTACCTATAATATGAAACA